TTGAGAATAATCTCAAAAATAATACCCCCACAATAATAAAAAAAAAAACACCGCCATGGTGGATACCCACAAGAAACGGCAAAAAAAGGGGGGGGGGGGGGAAGCAGAGAATCTTTTCTTTTTTTTTTTGCTGCTATTATTAAGCAGTATGAGCAAGGAATGGTTGCTATTTACCACAAATCACTCCGAGATCTTATAATAGATCCAATTCCTCCTCCTCCTCCTCCTCCTCCTCCTCCTCTTTTTTTAAAAAAAGGTTTACTCTGGATATTACTTTTGTCCAGAAAGAAGTGCGGGCTGAGCATACTAGAGAAATGCAGGTCTAGATTAGTTGTAACTTTGGAGAACTCAAAGCTCTGGGATGTTGTGAGCAGGACTGTAGCACTTTCTCAAAAATGTGTATTTGGAATGTAATTATCAAGTATCCCCATACTTTTAGCAATAAGTTCTGTAAATGTGACATAATAAATTGCACTGAAAGTATAAATAGATCTCTGACAGCAAGTAGCAACATGGGGAAAGATGGAATGGACGTTCTCAGTCATCTGCATGTAAGACAACTGATTGCTTTATTAATCTTTTTAGGTGTGTTAATTCATCATACAAAGCATGGTCACGCTCTTATTATGCCTGGATTCTGAATAAATTTGATTTGTTGTAATGTTAATCTGATTTACAAAATCAAGAACTGATCAAGAAGAAATGGCCTAATTGTCCTGTGAAACATGACTTTGTCAAAAGCAAAAATATTTTTTTCTGGGGATGCTGGAAAGATGCAGCCAATCTGTTTCATAACCAGGTGATGCACCTGATTGTTGGCCAGATGAATGAAGCTATGGTTTTCCTCAGCGCTGGTACAATTCCTCCTTCCTCCTCTGGTCTCTTAAGGCCTTCCTGACCAGCCTAATTTTTTCCTGCTTCCTCCTTCCGATTTGTGTCATTGGCTGGTCTGCTGGATGCTCTTTTGGGGTTTTGGCGATTGGGGGAATCATGGCTTCATTGGCAGTAATTACCCCGCTGTGTGGATATCACAGAAAGGTAGGGCAGCTTCAGTGTAAGCCAGTGTTTCTCCACCTTGGCGACTCCAAGATGTGTGGACTTCAGTTTCCAGAATTCCCCAGCCAGCATGAGCACTTTGGGAGAATCTAGATTTCCATAAACAACTGCTGTTTAATTAGATCACATAATAATTGTTATTTAGCAGATGAGCTAAATAACCGGGGAGGGGCTGTGCATTTAGACTGCAACTCCCAGAATACTCCACTAGCAGGTGGAAGAATTGCCAGCTAACCCATCTGGAGCTCTATTATTGGGGTAAGGCTGGGTTTAGCAGTTTCTAGACCCTCTTGATGAAAATAGCAAGAGAGACTTGTTTATCTACATAATTGTAAAACTGTTAACTAAACTAGCTTTTAAAGTAAGGAATCCTTTTTTAGCAACTTCAAATTTTCTGGGCTAGCAACCAAAAAAGGCAATAATACTTGAGGAAATGAACTCTTCAGTAATCCTTAAATCAGAAGTGAGAACAGAGTTCTGAGTAAGTGTTGGCTCCAATTCTCCTCCTCCTTAAGGGAAGGCTTCTCCCAGTTAAGAATGGTGTCTCTGCCTAGGACGTTCCACTGACAAGAGCTCACTGCTGGAAACCTGCTTAGTCTCATGCCCCCTTCCACACTGAACAGCACACTTGCACAAACAAAGGACCCGTGTGGGCTCAATGCCCAGCGATGTAATTAATTCACTGGCAGCTTTGGCAAACAGCTTCCTCAAAGCGTAAATTAATTATTTGTTGTTTTTTAAAGGTAATTATATTGACATACTGTACAAAGGTGTTGCGAATGTTCAGTAGCAATTATCAACCACTTTGCAGCAGCTAAAGCTGCCCTCTTTGCTCTTGGTAAGTTGGAAGGCCAATTTCTGTAGGGATTTATTTTCAGGAAAGGTCTCATTTGGGTGAAATGAATGTGATGACTCCTTGCTGTGCTGATTTGCTTATCATTCTATCCCTCCTGGTTAGAATTCAATGTCATTATATTGTAAAAGGAATTGTTGTTAATGATCAGTCTGCTTTCATTTGAAGATGTCAAGAAGAATAACATGTGAATGGAATCAAGGTGTGAAATCAATATCAGGCATCAGGTCTCATTCCTGGGGCTGATTCCTAGACTCTGTAGATGTAGGATATATCTACAGTAACACCTAAAGTACATTGACAGATACGTAAATGTGATGTGATAATGCATATGACACTATTCTGTTCCCAAGCTGAATTAGATAGGGAGGCTTAGAGAGAAGGAAAACAATTGATTCATACACAGCACATTTAGGGGCAGAATGTAGCCTCCCCACACCTTGCCTAACCTCCTTTTCTATAGAAAATCTGTCCAATGTGGACATTCCTGCTGTATAGGTTGAGGTTCATTGAGGTTCGTTTCATTGAGGTTCACTGAGGTCCATTTTTACATGTAGATATCTAAAGAGAATGGGAGGATGATCATTGGTCCAAATAGGCCAGAGACAAGGGGGCGGACCAGAGTCCCAGAATAAGAATGAGATGGGCCACAGCAAATAAATGTACTGTATAGTTAAAATCACTAAGAAGTCAAAGTCTAAAGAAGCAATAAAGGATTAGGAAGGTCAGGCAAATAAAAGGCAAATTCCAAAATAGCAAACAGAAAAAGGAGTGGGGCTTAGACAGAGTCTCAGAATATGTCACTTAGACTAGGGGTGAGGAATTTGGGGTTCCCAGATGCTAAAATACAACTACCAGCATCACTCATTATTGACCCCACTCTTGGAGTAAACAAAAAGCCCAAGCTTTGTAAAATTGGGGAGATCAAGATCAAGCTCTTATAGTCAGAGCTAAACCACAAATCATTTTGCATTCCAGAAAATTTATTTCTAGAAAATTAGTAGACCACCCCTACCTCTGGGATGGCTGGATCAACATGGTCCAGAAGGAAAACTGAATGGGTTCTTGAAAGGGAGATTTTTGCACACAATTAGCTGGCAAAGCTTGGGCAATCTCAGTATGCCTGACTTGCTATGAGGCCAGAAGTAGAAAAGCCCTTTTCATATAAACTAACCTGCTAGGAAGTGAAATCCCACTTTCCAAATGCTCAGCTTGTCTGAAATTGATCTTTATTGATAAGAACACAATGAATATCCAATATGAATCCATGTTGTTTCATGGTATGTAAGACTGAATAGAAGTCTGCTCTCATACTGGTATTTTTAACAGTTGTATATTATTCTTCAATTTGCAGAGTGTTTTATAGAAATGCTTCTTTAAATTTTTTCATATGTATCTTAGATGTTCTTGTGCCTCACAGATTGACATTCTAGTAGAAAATAATCCAGAGTTAGATGCAGTGGAAATTCTTGATTTTCAATAAACCTGGCTGAATCTGGGCTGATGGGGTCTCATGAGCTAAGCTATGCTGCAAGACGAGTGTTTCTTTGAACAATTTGTTACTGTGAATGCACACATGTATGTTGCTACATTTAATAGTTAAATGTCTTTCTGAGTGTGGGGAGCATGTTGATTTCTCTTAAATCAAGCATGTTAATTTCAGAGGTTTGTCTATGATATCAGGATAGGAGGAGACAACTAATATAGGTCTTTTCTTGTGTTTGTTCCTGTAGAGCTCAAGGCCACTGGAACTGCACGCTTCTTCAATTTCCTTCTCAACTCAACAGACTATCGAATCTTGCTGAAGGATGAAGATCATGACCGAATGTATGTGGGGAGCAAAGACTACATCCTCTCGCTAGACCTTCATGATATCAATCGGGAGCCCTTGATTGTAAGAGCATTTTTTATTTCTTATCAGGAGCAGGCGGGGAAATTCTGTTTGATGGGGAACAAAATGCCTCTGGGATTATCTATGCTGAATTTGCAGTAGACAGATATTGAAGCAAATGAGTCTCTGTTGAAAAGTAAGGTGGAAACAGGATTGCTTTTTTAAAATTGCACTCGATCTTTCCACAGTTGATATATCAATTTTTTCCTAGAGTTTAATGCATAGAGCTTAATTAGCAATGAACAAAATATTAAACAAACATTAATATTTGTCCAGATCACCCTTTGATTTTTTAGGAAGGGGGTTGTTTTGCTTTTTTGGTATTTTGTTTCTTCAATAGGTCAACTGTTTTCTTTCTCCCTACATCACTCAACATAAGATTAGTCTACCAAATATAAAACAAAAATAATAAACAAACTCTGACAGGCACCTCTTATGCCACATCACCATTTACTGCTTATTTATGTTTTTGCCTGTTTTCTCACTTAAGCTAGGAGTCCTTCAGGACCAGGGGTACTTTGGGAATTTGGAGAGCATGGTGGGTGCACCTTCAAAATGATTACTATGAGAGATTTAGCTGTTCACAAAGTGATTCCTCTTTAGCATCTCAAAAGGCCTAAATGATGCAAGAAGCTAGTGCTTCGCTTTGCAGCTTGCCAGCTTCCTGCTTATTTTAATTTAAAAAAAACTTTTTTTTAAATGTTTAAACAGGGAGGCAAGTGGGTGTCAAGATAGATATCCAGAGGCTCATTCATATCCAGAAGCATCATGTAGTCTTTCCTGATTCAAGCAAGTAGATTCCCTCTTTTCTAATCCTGCTATGCACATCTACATGTTAATATTCATTCTTTTAAACGTTCAGCTACCAATTATGCTATTTCTCCTTTTACTTATGATTGCTAATGCTACAAAATCATAATTAATGCAGCAGAGCTAAGAGGAAAGCTCAACATGTAATCTGTAGGCTGTTTGGTCAGAAAAGACTCCATTGGAGGACCATTTTCCATTTTGAACTCAGGAGAGAGATGCAGATGGAGAGAAATAGTGTATATACCCATTCAAGAATTCATAACTATATGTATCTGTGCCTTCAAGTCAGCACTGACTCTTGGAGGCTGCCTAGAGAAGTCCCTGCAGTTTTCTTGGCAAGATTTTGGAAGTGGTTTGCCATTGCCTCCTTCCTAGGGCTGAGAGAGAGGGACTGGCCCAAGGTCACCCAGCTGGCTTTGTGCCAAAGGCAAGGCTAGAACTCACCGTTTCCCACTGGTTTCTAGCCTGATGCCTTAACCACTACACCAAACTGGCTCTTCATACAAAACAATGAAGCCTTAACAGAGTGTGAGAAACATTGCTTATGTCTGTGCATTTTAAAACTGGGTTACATGAGCATTCCTGCAAAATATTTTAAATATTTCAATGTTCTTCACTTCTAAACTATTGTTATTTGTGAAACAATGTGAAACTAAATTGTTTTAAAGTCTGTATGTATGTATGCACTTGTTCTTGTTATTACTACAAGAACTTGATCCATTGCTATGATTCTTGAACAACCGCATTGCAATGTGGTCGATTACTTTTTCCCAAGATGTTATTCTGGAATATCCATCCCCCCAAAAGTGCTGCCTTTAAGAAACACATCTGGAACAAACAGTAAGGTGATACAACTGCTGGTCTCCAAAATGATCATATTGCCCCAAGTGATTTCTAATGAAAAACTGCCAACTCAATATATTGTCTGGTTTGGGACTGGGATTGAGAAGAGACTATGGGAAATTAGAGTGGTAACTATGGGATGTTGTTTTGCTTGGCAGATCCACTGGCCTGCATCGCAGCAAAGGATAGATGAATGTGTCCTGTCAGGGAAGAACAATAATGTAAGTACTTCTGATGTTATCCTCAAGCTCATACAAGAGTTCAGGATGGAGATGTCCTATTATCAGGCAGGAGAGGTTGCTGGAGGTTCATCCTTACCTATCTTTAAAATAGAAAGTCACCATATGCTCAAGAGGGGTATTGCTCACACCTCCGCAAGGATTTCAGGCAGACAACAAGAAGACCAAATGCTGACTGTGCTTTGTCACCTTTCCCTGCCTCATCCTACCTCCTGTTTACTCTCACCCTTTCAGTCATATAGTCCAGATACTTTAGGCGATAGCTAATAATAGAATCCTGTTGATTGCTGTGTTTGCTAAAAAATGGCTTTTCTGGACCATTTTAGGTAATTTCTGCACTAGCCATGCAAGGCTTTTTTGATCATTTGGGCCCCAATATTTGTATCTGTGTAGGCATATTATGAACCATAAATCACACCGCAACTTTGAATGAATGTTCTCTACTGATTGGTGGAGAAGATGAAAGAGTAAGGTAGATTGCCCTGAACTGTTTGCCCAAAACTGTTTGGGGTTCTCACCCCTTGGCATAAAATAATGTCATGAACTCAAGAATTGACAGCAGTTGTACATCTGCATTTCCCAATATCTTTTACAAGAAGACAAAATCAGGGCTAATGCTGCTGGTTTAGGCATTTGATTTGAAGACAGCAACTGGTAACAGATTAGTGCAGGATGGAAAGTCAACCCATAGCTTATGGACTTCATGCAGTTCTTGGACACCTGGGGTTGTAGAGAGAGCTGCTGGGAACTTTGCCCATTTTGCTCAGATACTAGCTGATCAGAAGATTGTCTGAAGGCAGGAAAGAAATCTCTGGTTTTCAGCTGATAACAACAGCGACCTACAGTAGGATGACTAGTGAGGGAGGGGGAGGCTGTCCTCTCCCAGCAACCTTGCCCAACTGAAGGTTATGTTGCTGTGTACTATGTGCCAGGGCATGTGACTAAGTGTAGGTCATGAGCCCCGACCTGGCAATTTCTGTGGCCCTTGTGGCTGAAAATATTTCTACTCCTGTGCATGGAACATAATAAGATGAAGATGCCTTATCAGCAGTAGACTGTAGGAACTGGGAAAATGTGTTCAGCCAGAGCTAAGTTCATTGGTAGTAATGCATATTGATTTTCTTAGTAGGAGGAAGTAAGGTCAGAGGTTACCAAGCTGTTTCCTGCAAGGCCTAGCTAGCCTTTTGGCCAACTGTCCTTGAACTCTGTCTTGTGGAGATTTCTCAGCTGCTACTGTTTGAGGCTTAATTTCAGAGGAGCCAAACTCCCGGAGCAAAGGAAACTGCATTTGCTTGCATATTTCCCTTCCTCCTGAACTTTATTACCCTTGGCTCTAGCTGAGATCCTCCAGACTGAGGCATGAGGCAAAGAGGAAACCTGAGCTGTGAAGAGGAAATGGGACTCTGTGCTCAGATGCACTGCTTTATGCTCCATTCCTGGTCCTAGATCCAATTAATTAATAAGTTTAGGCCTTAACAACAGGCTGGGAATTCTCTGCTCATTCTCTGCTCTTCTCTGTTATCACTTACCAGATAACTATTCAGTATAAGTTTCACTAGCCAAGGGGTTTCCAAGCCCTTCATATTGTTTAATACAGCGTTTTTCCACCTTGGCCATTTTAGGATGTGTGGACTTCAATGCCTAGAAACCCCCAACATGTGGGCTGGGGAATTCTGGGAGCTGAAAGTCCATACAGCTTAAAGTTACTGAGCTTGAGAAACACTGCTCTAAGGGATCCAGTGCATTAGCACAGCCATCCTAGTCATCTGTTTCTCCTTCTAGGTATCCTAGAAGGTTTCTGAATGGTCCTCACTATCTTGAAATACAGTGCCATCAAGCTATCAACAAACATCACATTTGTCCTTGTGCAATTGCTAAAAGAGGAAAAATAAGGAAGAAGGTGAAAATTTACCAACAGGGCACTTTCTTCCCCTGCTTAGGCTTCACTGCAGAATAATAATATTAATAATAATAATAATATACAAGTTTAATATATTGGTGGTGGTGGTAGTGGTGGTCACACAGTCAGCCAGTTGTTTAGACTGGATTTGGCATTTTTATCCGCCTATCCCAGGCCCTTGGGAAGAACTTGATAAGTGGATAAAAATGCCAAATCCGATCTAAACATCTGGCTGACTATGTGACCAACAACAATAATACATTAAACTCGTATGCTGCCCGACTCCCAATGACTCTGGCAGCTCACAACAATCAAACAAAGACATTCCATTAAAACTGATAAAAGAGAAAAGATGGCAAGAATGACAGACCAGATGCAATGAAACAAGGGGGGGGGGGGCTCACGCTCCCTCGCCAAGGATTTATTTATTTATTTATTTATTTATTTAT